AGAAACAATCTGATTGTGTCTGGTCAGCTTGTTGGGGCCATTTCTGGCTTGTCAGAGAAACATTTCTTTTCCTTGTCATAACTCCCAGGTGCTACTGCTGAGCAAATGGGAACATCACTGCCAGAAGTATTTGAAAAGAACAAAAAAATTGATTTGGACAATCTGTGTGTTCGTGCCATTGATAGAGACACAACTGTGACTAGGGGTATGACTAGGGTCACAGCAAGGTTAAAAGAAAAGCACCCAGGAATTCTCTCATGTTATCAGCTTTTCACACTAGCTGTTCTTAGTTGCTGCAGGCAATATATAGGTTTCCATCAAATACCAAGAGGTCTTCAGTAGATTTACAAGTTGCCCTTCAAATTTTCCCAAGGGGTGGTTATACTCTTACAATAGTAAATCACTTAAAAATTGAAGTTCAGATGTTTAGCACAGCTATGGACATAGGAAGATTTGATAACATAAAATTATAAAGCTATTCAAAACTAACAATTATGGGAGTCTTGTATGAAATAGCATACATTTCTTCTGACTTACTTTAAACATGATATTGGCTCTATTTTTTTAGAATAATTTATTAGAAAACAAATGTATGAAAAGACCACTTACTATCACAAATCAAAGGCTTTCTAGGATCTTACAACATGGCAAAAAAATTTGCAAAATATCTTAAATAGACAATATGTGGTACAAATATGAAAGTTGCTATATACAAAATATATTGGTCCATCCAGAATTTAAACTGACAACAAATTTAAATACTTGTTAGGGCATTTGAGCAACTCAAAACAACATTATTATATATGGGATTTAAGCTCCAAATATTACTCGATTATACATTAAATTATTTTTCCGTATTTTCAGGGCAGGATTTTTGTAAACTTTTCTACATAGTATTTCTTGTGCACAAAAGTTCATGATGTTATACTTTCATTCACTGTTATTTACCAATACTTAGCCATCAACTTGGCTGTGAAGACACACAAGCTAGGAGAATCTCCATCAAGAGCTAAATATATTTACTTTAGTTGTTCAATAAAAAAATGTAATTGTGGAGTGGGATCCAGAGGAGAAAATTTAAATGATTGATAAGGAGACAAGTGTCCATGTATTTAGAAATATTATAACTGCTGAGAATTTTTAAAAACATGCTGATGGTCTTAATTATCTATCATACTATCAAAGCAAATTAGATGATAAAAATGTACATGTGGCACATGGCTAATGAAATCAAGGCATTAAGAAATTAACCAATGATAATATAGCAGGCATTAATGCAAATATTTCACAGACAGTAAGTTTAAGGACATGTAAGTCAGTAAGCAAGGCTGTCCTGTTCTCCAACGCAAATTTTTGAATAGACCAGATTTCTTTTCCTGTTTTCCACATTTACAAAATACAATTCCTGTGTGTAGTATTTAGAAGTTCACTGTGAGTCCTCTGAAGGTTTCTTTACCATTTAATATTATAAATAATTATGTTCCTAGTCAGCAGTTCAAAGCTCAGTACAGCACTTGTACAACACCACAGGCAGGTCAGGTGACCTTTCTCCAATTCTGCACTCTCTGGTGCTGAGGACAGACAAAGTGATATGTCTGTCATACGCCATTACCATTAGAACAGAATCTTGTTCTTTTATTACAACTGAACTCCGCCAGATTTCTCAGCAGGAATGCTAAGTGAAATCAATGTCTTGGATTTCCAGGCTGAGCTTGGAGGTCACAGCCACTCTATCATTTCTCAGCATTATCCTTTCTCTCTCGCACACACACTCCCTGAGCCTCCAACTGGCACACAGCAGATTGAAAACAGCATGCATCAGAGGACTCATGCTGTACAATTTTACAGTCTTTTGGAGCCCCCTCCTTTTGATTCCCCCCTTCCATTTTTTGCAAATTGCAAATAAGTTTTGTTTGTGTCCTTCTCTGGAGTTGTGACTCAAAGGCAAAGGCACACCCAGGAAGACCGGCAGCCAGTAAAACTCAGAACACAGTATGAATTTTGACAGCCGTCAATAAGATCATTATCCTTACATCATTGCCTGGCTACGACTTATGATTCCATTGCCCTAAACAGCAAATCTTTTATTCTAAACCATCAATTTGGTTTATGCCAGGTAGGTATATAGAAAACACAAAGTCCTTAAATAAAATAATTCTATTTTATAGTAAGATAAACATGAAATTTGCCAATAAAACACACAGCAAATACCCTGAGCCACTAAAAATTGATTGTTTATAAACATAAATATGATAATAAATGATAGCTGTTATACATAAATGAAATAACTCTGTGAAGTCAAAATGTTTACTATGCTATGTGTAAATGTTAATTCTATGCAGCAAGGAAGTAAATTCCTATATTGTAATGGGTGTTCTTTCTTTATTTACTGCTAGTTGTATTATTATTTTTTTTTTCGCTATGTTCTTCATTAAAGTGACCATGATACTTGTTGCTGTGGCTATTTTAAATTCACTACATTTTACTGCAGAGTTAAATTAACATAAGCACATAAAGAAATCTTTTCTGACAATAAAATTGGTTGTAGACTATGGTGGAGGAACAATGAGCAAGGGAAGGACATATTTTTATTATATTGTCACTGTCATTTAAAAAGAGAGACTTTGTTAAACTTTACGTATTTTACAATTGCAGATGGAAGGAAATACAATACCTGCTTTTTTTCTTAAATTTTATATGACAGAAAACTCATGAAGGCTAATTTCAAAAAATAACTGAACTTCAAAGACAAAAGACAAAATATATTTTAAATTATACATAACAATAGAAACATAATCTACTCTTTCACTAATATTGAATGAACTAATATTAATTATTTTTTACTAATATTAAATAAAGGTATATAACATCACAAGGTGTGGCAGAATTTTAACATTACTAAAATAATTGGCCTCCTTTACACAGAGTTTATAGTGCTCTGTGAGCATATAGAACCATATAATTCATAAAGAAGACTCCTAATAGTGGCAAAGCAAAACTTCAGATCACTTTTGTACTTGCCAGGATTACCTACAAAAGTATCATTGTAGAAATTGCTCAATAAGCATTTGCATAGCTGGTTGAATGAATGAATGAATGAATGAATAGACAAATGAATAAAAGCATAAATAGATGAGACTGGCATCAAAAGCTTTGTGATTATTTGTAAAAGTGATTTAATGAGTAGATATTAACGACAAAAAGTTTAACCCATCAGCTATTTAAAATTGAACTATGGATCCTAAAATCCTAAAATGAAGCATCCTCTTACAATGCATAATTCTGAAACATGATGTGAAATCACACAAGTAAATCAAGGGAATAAAAACAGAACACAATACTTCACAGAGCTATCTGCATGTGACAAGGACTATGGTGTAACAGCTATTTATTTTACTCAAAGTTAGCCTGAACATGGAATACATTAAAACTGCTGGTCCATGGAGACACCAAAATATCACTGCTTTAAAATTAAATTTTGTTCAATAAATAATTATTACTGAGTTTTAAAAATTTACATGCTGCTATGATTATAAAGAAAAGCAGATCAGACCTTAGACACACATTAAGCACAGAACATGCAAGGTCCATTAAACAGCCGAAACAGACCTTAAACGTGGCTTATGTGTATTCCCTAATGTCACTGCAGGGTGTACAATATTTTTTGCTATGTATTTACACATAGTACTGTGAATCATGGTCCAAGGTCTCTGTCCAGGTTAAGTTACACTCTTAATGTGATTTTCTCTTAATAATATAGAAAAGGACTTGGAAGTTATGGGAAGGTAGATGCTGGAGTGGCCTTTCCTAATCCGTCGATCCCTTTTTCATTCCCAATTCCCTCTGGAATAGTATGTAACTGGGAAAGACATCCTAGAGGAGTTGCCAAGTTTTTGGAGAAAGACTTTTTAAAAAATAAGCTGTTATATATTTCTCTTTTGATATTTTCTACTCCTCTTCTCTGTGTTCCTTTCTACTGTTGTAACTACTCTTACCCTGTTACTCTTGATATATTTCATCATCTCCATCCATGGAAAGGAGATCAGAAGCAATTTTCTACATAGTTCAGAAAAAATTAATTTTGGGGTAAATTAACTGTTGTTAGTGTTCCATTTCCTATTTTCTAACATGGTAAAAAATTTGCAGTTATTTTTCCTGAGTAGTTTCATGGAATACTACTTAACTGTCACTCTTATGTTGTTCACAGAAAGCTTAATTTATTCATACAACATCATATATGTAAGGCTTAAAATAAAAAACATTTTGAATCAATTTTTTCTGCTTCTTTCTCTGTTTAAGCTGAAACATACACTACATGAACTTTCCCAATCTCCTTCCATGTGTTCCACATGCTTCTTAACTGCAAAACCAAAACTGCTTCTAAATAGTTTTACTTCTAATACTATTATTATCTTTGCTTCTTTACATGATAATCTCAGTGGATGGGTGACATATCTAAAATTACATCTATACCATGCCACATTATAACAGTTATTGATATTTTTAAAAAAACACTCCATATGTCCTAATCCTACTCATACTTTAAGATCTATTTCAGTTCCTCTTTCTCTGGCAAACACTTCACTTCTCAGTGAAGTTAATCTCTTCTTCCTAATAACTTCCAATGTGCCTTATCTGTCTATGTCTTTATAAAATGTATTATTTCTCATCATTGAATACAGCTAGTTGGCTATTTTTATATGTATCTACTTTATAAGACTGTAAGTCCCTTGGGCATAGAATACTTATCTGATAAATTATTGTATAATTTATTTATCACATTTTTATTATAGTTGTCTGCATGTGTTTGCTGATTAATTGAACAAATGAATTACTCAGTGCGTTTATGTAAATTTACATGAATACTTATTACTTCTGCTAGACTCTTACCTCCATGTACACAGTTTGCTGTCATATAATAGATAATAGACCTTCAACAAATACCACTGAATGAAAAGAAAAACTCTTAGGTGGCAACATAGGAAGCTTCAAAAGGGTACCTTGCTTTTGGGTGGCGGGCTGTTTGTGCTCTTGTCTGTATGGATGCTGGTAGGAGATACAGCAGCACCAAGGTTGCCTTGGGGTATGCCTGGGAGCTTTCCTCCTGGAGACACCTGCATTGCAGCTAGCTGGGCAGCATATAACTGCTACAGAAGTAGAAGAGAGAGAAAAAGACTAATCAATAATAAACAATGCACCTTTCAGAAATTACTCATACTCAGATGTGTTATTTTTTCTCTAGGTATTTTTGTTTAGATCCTGAAATACTTAAGGAAAGTAGCTGTCATCTCAACTTAATGACTAACATCTTAGGGGAGGAATGACAGATACCACATAGATGGAATCTCTGTCAGTATGTTCAGGGCCTCAAAGCAAATCTATAATAACTCTTTTCCAATGTCTATGGGAGGCAAGTATATCACATTATTCGGTCAAGAGCTACTTCTGTACTTTAAATTCACGTAATATATTACAAAAGAATGCAGCTTCATGTACACATAGTTTTCTTACTATCCATGTTGGTTCAATCCCTATATATCTCTTTCTTTGACTTGTTGAAATGGGTACCTATAACAATTTTTCTGAGCATGAGTTGCATAGAAATACAAAATAGGCATTCAGTGGGAATCAGAAGAGAGTATTTGAAGAATGTTATCTGGTCAGTCTACCTACATTGATAAAAATTAACTGGATTCTTGCCAGAAGTTCAATTTACTTCACAATATAAACACAGACAACTCTCAAAATTATCTTGAGGATTAGGGTTTTACAGAAGATTGCCTAAAACATACACTCTCCCACTAAGCTATCACTTAATAATTTTTATTAAGTAACATAGAAAACATTCTTTAACAAGTCATTAATAAATTACAAAGAAAATTTTTGTTTCATAACAACAACCATATGGTAAAGTAACCTAAAACAAAGGAAGATGTTTTACATTGAAATAATAATATTAGATGTTAAGATTAATACTCTTTTCATCTTCATTCAACACTTCATAAAGATTTTAACAATCTGGATGAGAAAGCAATAATGAAACTTTATAATATATGTGTGTATATACATTTCCATTTGTCTTGAGAGTAAATAGCTTTTACTATGCAAGGTAGCATTTCTGTTACAAAGTGATTGATGCTAAAGTAAAAAGCTCTCAAGCACAAGTCCTGTGGAATGGTTCTTTGGATTATCTTGATATTTTTTCCTGAAAGAGAAATTTCAAAGGATAAACTTGTTCAAGATAGGCCATAGGTCCTGATAAATGAGGTCTCTCTACAAAGCAAAACTGAAAAGAGTACATATTTTCATGAAAATACACATTGCTGTTTCCAGATACTATGATATAGATGAAAATAGAAAATTAAAATCATTAATAAAATAATACCTTTTTTAATGCAAAGCGATGAAAGATACAAATTCCAGAGAAAGAATGAACAACTTTAGTGAAATATATTTAGATTATCAACAATGATTGTCCCTATAAAGTTATCTTGTGTTAGAAAAACTATATTATTTATATTTTTATCAGAAGAAAGGATAAAATTAAATTGCTAAATCTTCAATTACATGAAGAGTAAAAGGATCATTCACTTTAAATATGATGAGAGTTTACTATTTAAAAAACAATGATCAGAATTGAAGCATTTTCCACACTTGTGTTAAAAAATGTATGCATTATATTTTGTACTTAGAAAAGCAGTTTTTTCTGTCATCATTCTGAACCATTTATAAAATCATTTAGAATATTAAATTCAAATTTAAAATATGCCCAGCTGATACATAATATTAAAAATATATGTATATTAACAGATTAGCTAAATAACAATATTATGCTATGTAAATTTCATATTTTATTGTATATTGTGCTCTTGTCTTTAAAAATATAAATCCACTGGGTATTATTACTACAGGAAACAATACCTATTTCTGCCTAGGCACACCAAAACTGAAATTGTTTCAGAATAGGAAAGATGACATGTCTTAAATATCTGTAGGTAAAATGAATAATGTGAACAATACAGCTATTCAAATTTTAATTTTGTTTCTTAAAGAATTACTTCATAATATTGAAAATTATTCTGTTATTTAATTAAACAACTTGATTAATTACCCATAAAAAGGGATTCAATAATTAAGTATAAATCACTATAGTCAGATTTACAACTTCAAAAAATATTTTTAAAAGGGTATAAATACTCTCAAACATTTTATTGAATTTAAAGGTTGAAGATGGTGCATGTTTGAATTAAAAAATCTACTTTATACTCTTAATCAAATAAATGAATTATTTTTATCCTTTAATAAAAACCATCAGGTTTAATCTGAGTTTGGTTGTCCTAAAAAATGCTTTTTGAACTGAAATGGACACAAAGATTGTGTGGCTTACAGCTGGATGAGAATTCAGATCTGTCTGTGCACAGCTCTGTCTTTTTAACTGTTCTACTATAAGAAGAAACAATGGTCCCTGAGGGAGCAAAAATATTGAAGACAAAGATGTAGGTTGTGGTACTATCTAAGATAAAAATGAGAGCTGCTTATAGGTTCACAGACATAAAACATGCTTATGAACACTGAGCACCAGGGAGACATGAAATGATAATCAACAAACAGATTCCACCTAATCCTGTGTGATTGTTTCCTTTAAAAAAAAATATTGTCTGAGGGAGTTGTGGGGAAGACGATAAGGAGAGGGAATAAGAATATGATATTTTAAGTAATATAAAAACCCGAAATTTAATTCTTACCAGGGTTGGAGTATTTTAGAGATCATAAAAAAATTCTAACATTATTTTCAGGGTAAGAGTCAAGGTATCCTGTAAGGATAAAAGACTCTTAGTCTGTTTAAACACAAAGTTCAGCTCAGCCTTCTAACTTTAGTGTATCCCAAATTGTCTGTGTTGGGTTAAAAAAAATTAATTTAATTAATTAACCTTATATTTAATCTTTGGGTTTCATCAGCTATAGTCAAAAGAAAGATGTTAACCAGATTTGTGTTCTAAAAAATAAATGTATACAATTTAAAGAAAGATGCAGAACAAGATAATTGTTGACAAGGTATTATAGAGGATGGTGTGGAACAATGAGTGGTAGGAAAGAAAGGCAATGCATTTGAGTGCACATCCTGGAATGCAAAACAGCACTGTGTCTGCAGGCTAAGGAAGTTCATCCATGGAAGCCCTAGAAATGCAGGGCAGGGTTTAAATTAAAAATAGAGGTAATAGAAAGCCACAGGATGGGAGCAACACATACATGATGTGTTTAATTAGGCAGGAATATCAGCTATGAGGTTTTAAAAATTTAGAAGTGATAGTATCGATCATAAGAACTTAGTTAACATAACTATTGTGAAAAAGATTAGAAAAAAAATCAAGTCATAGTACAGTGGACACATAAATATCACCAAATAACAGGGGGAAAGAAAAAAGAAACACTGGAATGAGATGAATAATTTAATATATAAAATACCTTCATTTTTACATATGTGAGTAATTGTCTATCATATATTCTTTGTAAGATAATCAAAACACATAACTATTTCTTTTTAGAAAAGGAGGGACTGATTTATGCAGAGAAGTTTCCCCATAATCCTGCATTTTGGTAGTAAAAGTGCTGGGACCATTCAGTCATGTACTTCCCCTAAAGTGTAGCTCATTAAATTATTGAACTTTTTTTTTTTTTTAGGAAGAATTTCAGCACTGGGGAATTCAACCCAAGGTCTGCTGCATATTAGAAACTGAAATATATCCCCAGCCCCAATGCTTTTTCAAGTTTGAATAATATGATGTTCTCTACTTACAACAACATTAGCTTAAATTGTATCTATCATAGCCAAGCCTAATCATTATTATTTTTTTTATATAATTCATTATCATGTGTACCAAGCACTACTGGGCAGTTCATTTATAGGCTCTTTCTGATGAGCTGTTATGGTCCAATATTGGGTCCAAAAATATCTAATGGGAAGATAAATAACAGATATTTGAAAATATAATGACTAAATGTTGCTATTTTGAGAAAAAATAATACAATTGGTTTTTGGACAACATGGCTTTTATGACACAGTTATATACAGTAGTTAGATAGAATCTTCTTGTGAAGATACTTGCTTTACTTGGACATGCTAAGCAAGAACTTTTCAGTGCTCAGAGTGAAGAAACTTCATGAAACACCCCTTTCAATTTCTAAGCTGACTGCCTTAATTCATACAGATAGTAAATTTCTGCCACTTCTTCCTAATAGCGTATTTTCCCCAAATTGCTAGAAACACAGCTTCTGCCATTGGCTACTAGCCTAGTGTCTAACTGCCATCTGGAGTATTTGGATTCAAAACATTAAGCACTGACAAAAATATCTATCATGATTTGTTGCCCCAAACCATTAACTGACTAGTAAACTCCTTGAAGGCAGGGATTATATCCCTATCCTTCAATGCTTTTTCAGAAAATAGTAAATACAAGGACAAGTAGAATTGAATAAAGGCAAAAATGGACTGTGTAAAATAATAGCATTTATTATTAACAAACACAGATCTCTTGTGCACAAGTAGTTAATTCAGATCATGATAATGATTATGCATGAAACTAAAATTCTGGAAGGAATTTGATGCACTTCTACTTCTTGGGAATTAGAAAGACTCTGTGGTGATAACATTCACTTTGATTCATTCATTTTGTTTACTTAAGAGGGCAAATAAACATGACTTAATAAATAAATCTGAGCATAAGAACACAAGATATTCTAATATACTCCTCATAGTCATAACAATATCTAAATAAATCACTTTGGAAATATGGATGGAAAGAAATGGGTAGAGATTAGTTTTTAAAGTTCATTACTTTTCAAAATATAACAAAACCAAGAGTATAAGCATATAGATATTCTTAAATATTTTGGAAAAAAATGGAAAATGCCTTCTTCCTCAGAAGGGAATATACATTATTTAATTGTTGAATGTAAAATATTTATTACTTAGAGAGTAAAAAGCATATAGTAGGAACTATGGTTGTTAGTAGGTAGTAGTTGTTCTTTGGGGAAAAAGAACAGGTTCTCTTAGTTCAAAGCTGAATTTTCTATTTATATTTTTATTCATTGATAAACACATCTCCAACTCTCCCCACCCACCAGATCCTGGTAGATATCATTCTAT